AGAAAATGAAATCTTAATATAAATAGAATATATATATAATATGTATATATATTTAGATGTATATTATAACGTTCCATGACTTTATCCATGCAAAGCCTTTAATGCTCGCATGAAGTTTAGCACATGAACCATTGTAAGAGTTAGAGAATTGAACATGAAATTGATGCCATGGATTCATATAGGTTGGCTTGGACACAAAGGAAAAAATCGAACTTTCATTAAGGATAAATTGGTGACACCCGTATAAGCTAACTAGGTAAGTGGCCTTACTATAGGATAGGCTAAAAATTGTATGAGTTACAATGTATGAACTATGTCGTACGATGCAGTATATGAGTTGAGTTATGATGATGTGTGAGTTACGATACTTGATGATGTGCTCAATATATATATATTTTGATGAATGTCATATTTGATATGTTTGATGCACTTTGTGGCAATATGATGAGTATGATGATTGCATGACGTTTACCTTAATATGATGATGTTTTCCATATTAAGCATGCTATATGATGATGAGTGCCATATTGCATCATGTCGTTAGATCGACATAGGACACAACCCTAAGAGCATGAAAATGATATTAATATAAATATCCACGAGTATGTGTTACCTAGAGTAACAAAGAGATGAGACTAAGGGGTTGTGTCAGAAGAGAAATTATGATGGATTTAGAGGGACCTTATGCATATTGTATGTTCATAAGCATAGGGCGACTTCCCCTAGAGATGATGAGTGCGGACGCGCACCATATGATGAGCGCGAATGCGCACAGGTGCGAACGCACACAGATGAGGGTGTTCATGAGGCGCATGACACTATGGGGTTCCGCTGACCTCCAGACGTCGCTACAGATTAGCTTGACCAGAGGGTCTAGGGGGTGTGCGAGCGCCTTGGGGATTCACACTCGAATATATGAGTCGTGTGTAGGGAAGTACTACACATCCAATTTGTCTGAGACTGGAGGCCACCCCTAAGATGATTAGAGATAGGTCCCTAAATCATGATTGCATGTGTTTGCATTTGCATGACCCCTATAGTGGGGCCACTTACCGAGTATTCTTTGAAATGCTCAGGTCGTGTGCCACATCATTTTTCAGGTAAAGGCAAGGCGCACTTGTACGGAGGACGGTGGCATCGCGATCAGAGACTGTGGCACGTGCATAGGGTAGACTCATTTTTTAAATTCTTAGTTTATAGGCTGTTTTGCATTTCATTGTTTCCATTGTTTTAAATTATTTTGTATTTGTTTTTATTTTCTCTAAATTTTAGTATTTTGTATTTAAACACGTAAGACCATGGATGTGTTTTCTAGAGAAGAAGTTGTTTTAAACGTTTTTCGAAGTTTACGTTATAAATGATGTTCATGTAAGAGTTATATTTCCGCTTTATAGATGAGCATGAGACGTTAGTGGCGACTCTAGACATGTGAAAATTTAGGGTCGTTACACTCAGAATAGCCTTTGGCCTCTTGACATTGCCTAGTGCATCATAGTTGTAAGTGATGAACCTACCATGATTGTTTGTGCGTTGCAGGTTATGAACCTACCATGATTGTTTGTGCATCTCTTTTTGACACATCAAATTCTCACTGACTTTCTCCACACCACTTGAGTGTAAGTACCACACACCTTGCCAGCTGCACAAATATTATGCGAGGATTGTAATATTGCTTCTCAGTGACCCACATCCAAACTGCAGCCATGCCTGATAAGTTGTAGCCTCTCCATGCAATATTTTCTCGATATGGTCCGCTTGAGTGCACCAACTTGCGCTGGTTTGCATATTGTCGAGCAAATCTAGTTACCCTTTCGTCCCACTTGATCGGCCTGTTGGGTTTTATGTCCTAAAGCTCATAGTTTTTAAACAAAAACATATTTTATTTTCAATAAAGTTATTATTGATGTTTATTCCGTAATGATTGTTATTGAATAAAGTGAATTTTACGATCATTAATCTAAATCCAATAAACTAAGAATACTCTGGCTATAGTATGATTACTTAAACTATATGTAAAGACATAAGAGTAGATTAAGTTCAAGTATATAGTCAAAATGATCTATAGTACAGGTATAAGGGTGAGTACCTTATCCTGGGGACACTATGTATGTGGCCCACTTTTGTTATGATATAAACAATGTGATCACTAAATTGTACATGTGGAGACATGTGAGTAGGGACATCCTATGCAATGAGTATTGCATAAGATCGGACCATGAAGAAAATCACTTTCACTTTACAATATTATTTACTGTTGAGACTGATTTTTTCACTCGATGACCTAGGTAACTCGACCTTAATCTGAGCTAAATATGAACTCCTGTTTATTCAAAATTATCCTTAGATTTTCATGGGGGAGAGTGACCCGAGTTCGCCGACTCAATAAGCCTCCCAATTCAAGGGTAAGACTGGGTGAATAGCTGGGGACATAGGGTGCAAGATAGAATTCACTCCTATCCGCTTTTAGGGATAGTAGAGAGGTTGTTTCCTTAAGTACTGACTTCGGGTCTGGAATAAGGGGCCCCACCCTCCCATTGGCCCGAGAGGGATTCGGTTTGGTGGTTGGACTACAAACCAATTGTTCATTAGAGGATTAGTGGGAGTTAAGGAACAAGAAGTAACTTTAGGTGTAAAAACGGTAAATTGACCCAACTCTAGTTACAAAGCCAGATAGAAGAGGGGGTAGACATAAGGTGGTGTGTCAATAAGGACGCTGGGGCTCAAAGGGGGGTGGATTTGGTGGTGGTCTCACAGCGATTTGAGAAAGGAATGAGTGCCAGCGAAGATGTTGGACCTTGAAGGGGTGGATTGTTTGATCCCATATGGGTTGGGAGGAGAACGAAACATCGCCAATTAGGATGCTGGGCCCGAAGGGGGCGGTTTTGGTGGTAGTCCCACATCAATAGAAGAAGGGAACAAGTGCCAACGAGGACACTGGACCCTGAAGGGGGTCGATTGTTTGAATCCCATCGGTTGGGGAGGAGAACGAAACACCGTTTTAAGAGTGTGAAAACCTTTCTCTAGTAGACACATCTTAAAAGTCTTGAGGGAAAATTCGAAAGAGAAAGATTAGAAGTTTTCCTCCTCCATCGTATCTGAACTTAAAAAAAAACATAAATTAGAGACTCTCAAATAAAAGATTAGAAAAAAAAAATTAACAGATGAAGAGGTCAAAGCATAAATGAAAATAAATATCATACTATTATTATTAATTAAAATAGTTAAAATATGATTAGGCTATAGTCTCTATTTTATTTTATTAGATAGTTTATCAAATTTCAAGCGTTTAAAATTAATATAAAAATTATAGATAGTTGTTATTAGTTTATTTCTATTGCAAATGAATAATGGTTTGATTATGGAAAAAATTTAAACCCATGCATGATTTCATATAACCCAATTACAACTGCGGCAAAAACACATTTATGCTCGTTATCTGAAAATATTTTATATGATTGCTCATTTCGGGTCCATAGTACTATTTGGAGAGTCAATAAGTTAATTTCTGTCAACGTATATTTGTCCGGTTGTCTACCTAAACCTGAGGCTGTCGATCTGAAAATTTATCCTATGAATTTGAAACTTGAACCTAACTTATTTGATTTTAGAAAATTAACTCAATCCAACTCAAAATGCTATCTAACCCAACTCGACCCCTATAATTTGGGAAGGGTCTGTTTCGATTGTTGTGTTCAATATACACCCCTAATAACCTAATCGAACCCAACTTAGTTGTTAAATGTATCGCTTTACTAATCAAATCAATCTCATACTCAGACACTGAGATGATTCTATTTTTTGCCCCTTTATTTTACTCATTTAGATCTTCAAGATGACGTAAGATACAACATATACAATGTTTTCATCATGTCATGTCTTTTATTTTTAAGGAAAAAAAAGTGTTTTATTGAACTTTTTAAATTGAAAAAATATCGACTTGCCCGATAGGTAAAAAGAAATAAGGACGCTTGATCATGTCTCCCTCTCAAATTTGTGGCCAAAACACAAATTGGCCACAAATTTGGGACTTTTTGCGAGGCGATGAGAGAGAATATTGGAAGTTTGGGTCGGAGTAGAATGGAAAATCGAGTGGGAGAAGGAGGGAGCTAAACCAATTGCTCGTGTTGAGCAAGGAGTGTTTTTAAGTTAGGTTGAGACAGTTTTTGAGACCTAAACCAATTGCTCGTGTTGTAAAATTTCTACAAATATTATGATGTTGTATAATGTGAGACTGTTCCCACTTTTAGTTAAGACATTTTTTAAAACTCATTATTTTGATCAACAAAATTTTCATTTATTTGAAAATAACCGGCAAGCCGTATAAATTAAGTTGGGTTAATCGAGTTTTTTATCCACCTCTATTGAGGGTATGGAGAGATGTCACTTAGTTACCTCAGGTAACGTGCCTTATAACATAAGATCAAAACTATAAATACTATATTATAGCGTTAAAAAATGTTATTATATATTTTAGTTTCATATCTTTACCATAGCATCCATTATAGATATATAAAAATATATATATATATATAAAGTTTCAGATTTTTAATAAAATGAGCTATCACGACATACAAAAAAACATTATAAAAAGTCTATAAAAAAAGCAGAACGGGAGAATTCCGTCCAACGAAATTAATTCTTGTCATTTAATTTCTAACTCAAATCTAATTAATTAAACGAAATTAATATCATTCAATAAGAGAAAGAAAAAGTAAAATATGACTATTGATGGGCATGTTTAAATATTATATATAATTATAATTATAGCATCAAAATGTATCCTTTATATTTTAATATGTTTAGAACTTAATATTAAATTATCTTATAATATAAACCTTCTCATTTTCATTATTTCATTAATAATAGTAATACATAATATATATATATATATATATATATATATATATATATATATATATATATAATATTCACATCACATATAAAGATGTAAAACATAATAAAGATGGTTTTATTTACTAACTTTCCTTTATATATATAACATTCATAATAATATGATTGGTAGAGGATCACATCTAAATACATTCATAATAATATGATTAGTAGATAGATCATATCGAAAGTTGTTTTTATTTAGTAACTCTCACGGAGTATATATATATATGTCATAATAGTATGATCAGCAGATAGATCATATCTAAAGTTGTTTTTATTTAGCAATTCTGATTAACGGATCAGTACTGAATGGCCTTTCACCCGGGATATTACCTGGTGGATCATAGTTGCAAATGATTAATGTACCACGATTGTTTGTGCATATCACTTTAGCACATCCAATTCTCACTGAGTTTCTCCAAACCACTTGAGTGTAATGGCCACACACCCTGTAAGGTGCACAAGTATTGGTGCTAAGATCGTAGAATTGCTTCTCATCAACCCATTCCTGAACTGTAGCAGTGCCTGATAAGTCAGGAAAACCATATGAAATATTCTCTCCAAATGGTCCGTGTGAGTGCACCGCTTCACAGTCATTGATGTGTTTGTTGCCATATTGTCGAGCAAAATTAGCTACTTTTTCGTCCCACTGGACCGGCCCAACACCAACTTTAGCACGAGCTTTGTTGTGGGCATCGACATAATCTTGAGACGAGTCTTGAGCGAAAGACGAGGGGAGCATGGCAATGCTCAAGACATAGAAGAGGAGGAGGGAGAGCTTGAAAAGATCCATTATTTGGAGTTGGTGCGGAGAAAATGGGATGGCAATGGCAGTGATTTATAGGCATGAAGTAGAGATTATTTTAGGATTGTGGATTATTCAAAATATTATTAACAATTAAGATATTATTACTATTATTACTATTATTATTATTACTATTATTATTATTATTATTATTATTATTATTTTTATTACAATTATTATTATTATTATTATTATTATTATTATTATTATTATTATTATTATTATTATTATTATTTCTATTATTATTATTATTATTATTATTATTATTATTATTATTACTATTATTATTATTATTATTATTATTATTATTATTATTAATAATTTAACAACATCGTCGAAGAACAGAACTTAAGAACGTTAAAGCTATGATAAGTTAGAGAACGACATGACTACGAAGTGTTTACGTTATGACTTGTTTATGATACGATACATTGTGATGCAATATGTCATAGTATGATGTGTGTATGATGAAATGTTATGTAAAAGGCATAAAACGTTATGTTAGGTCTCTTAAATTGTGTGTATACAACATGATATGAATGACATGAAATTACGATAAATGGCATGAAATATAACCCCGTTAGAATTATGTATGATTTGAGAACTGAAGAATAAAAAACGATATGATATGAATGATGAACGATATCTGAAATGATATGAAAAATGATATGATATGTACATAATGATAGTGGGGTTGTATTAAAGAATAATGAAAATGGAAAAGTTTTGGGACCTCATGCATTATGTGTGCTCATGCATTTGGGGGGATACCCCTATCCCATCACGAGGGTACAGACGCGTACATCCAATGGCAGGACAACGACCGTTATGCTTTGCATAGCGCTGCCGTGACGGTTACTAGTTCTAACGGGTTCCGGCATAAGGGACTCCTAGAGTATGCCCACCAGATAAGGAAAGTGGCCCAGCGGTGTGTGAACTAGCTGGTGAGTCCATACTCGCACGTATGGGCTGTATGTAGAGTATATGGTATACATCCAAAATTACTCGTTAGGACAGCATTGTAGGGAAAACGATACCCCTATCCCATCACGAGGGAACAGACGCGTACATCCAATGGCAGGACAACAATCGTTATGCTTTGCATAGCGCTGCTGTGACGGTTACTAGTTCTACCGGATGTCCGGCCTAAGGGGTTCTTAGAGTACGCCCACCGGATAAGGAAAGTGGCCCAACAGTATGCAAACTAGCTGGTGAGCCCATACTCACACGTATGGGCTGTGTGTAGAGTATATGGTACACGTCCAAAATTACCCGTTAGGACAGCACCGTAGGAAAAATGGACTGAAAAATAGGTCCCATCATCTCATTGCATGTGATTGTTGCATTTAACCCCAATAGTCGGGTCACTTACTAAGTATTTCTTTAAATACTCAAGCCATGTGCTACTACATTTTTCAGGGTAAGGCAAGGCATTTCTGTACGGCTGACGACGGCATTGCAACTCGAGACCATGACACATGCATAGGATAGTGATATTTATTTTCTTAGACTTAGGGTAGAATAGGATGTTTTTAACTTAAACCCTTATTCATTTTATTTAGTCTTTTATTGTGTTGTTTTAAAGATGTTTTCGAAACACGTAAGTCCATGACTGTGTTTTAAAATAAAGGTTATAGAATTTAAATGAAGTCTTCCACATTCAATGTTTATGGTACATATACAGTAGCGACCTTAAATTAAGGAGAAAATTTCGGGTCGTTACAGATATGGGGTCGCTCCCCGATGGTTTATTGTACTATGTTTTTACAATTAGGGGTAGCTAGTAACTCTTAATAGTGAACTTTTTTCGATTGATAAGGGTTTTCATATGTACTTATGATGAATATGAGTTGGTAGTGATAAGGTCGTGCCCTAAGATGATTATATGCTATGAGAAGTTTGCATAGAGGGATGATTAAGAGATCTCGAACTATCTTTTAGACACGATTTAAACCTTCTCATTTTCATTATTTTATTAATAATAGGAAGATGTACCATATCTAAAATATTCCTAAGGGTGTAGATAACAACTAAAATTGTTTTTATTTAGTAACTCACAGTACTTTTATTTTAGTTATAATCATTCTCAGAATGGCCTTTGACCTCTGACATTACCCGGTGGATCATAGTTGCAAGTGATGAACGTACCACGATTGTTTGTGCATTTCACTTTGGCACATCCAATTCTCACTGACTTTCTCCACACCACTTGAGTGTAATGACCACACACCTTGCCAGTTGCACAAGTATTGATGCGAGGATTGTAATATTGCTTCTCGGTGACCCACATCCAAACTGCAGCAATGCCTGATAAGTTGTAGCCGCTCCATGCAAGATTTTCTCCATATGGTCCGCCTAAGTGCACCAACTTACAACTATGTTTGAGTTGGTTGGCATATTGTCGAGCAAATCTAGTTACCCTTTCGTCCCACTTGACCGGCCCGACGCCAACAAGGGCACGAGCTGCATTGTGGGCATTGACGAAGTCTTGAGGAGAATCTTGAGCGAGAGACGAAGGAAGCATCGCAAAACTCATGACATAGTAGAGGAAGAGGGAGAGCTTAAAAAGATCCATTATTTGGAGATGGAGTTGTGATAAAATGGTTAGATGTTTGGTGTGGAGAAAATGGGATGGCTATGAGTGTGATTTATAAGCATGAAGTTGATCCATTATTTGGAGATGGAGTTGTGATAAAATGGTTAGAAGTTTGGTGTGGAGAAAATGGGATGGCTATGAGTGTGATTTATAAGCATGAAGTTGTGGAATATTAATATGAAGGAGATTATTTTAAGTTTGTGGACTATCAAAAGCGTAGCATACACAATTAAATTTTCGTATCCCACTAGTTGTAATAAAATATGCTAAAAAATGAACTTATTAAATAAGGATAAAAAAAATCAATCAATCTCCGTGCATAAATTTTGAATTTTTAAATGGTCTAATAAATGTCTAATTTATATGTATTATGAGATCCACATCCATCGGTGAAAAGAATGAAACACCTTGTATAGACACGTTTTTTAAAACTTTGAGGGTAAACCCAAAAGAGAAAACCCAAATAGGACAATATGTTTTGGGGATGGGCTTGGGCCGTTACAATTGGTATCTGAGAATGTTTGCTTAATCCACCATATCTAAATGGTGTGAAAATTATCTTATTTATAATCAAATAAATTACAAGGATATGGAAAGAGTAATAAACGGAAATAACAATCAATGGAAAAAGATACCTATGGTAAGAAAGCAAATATCTACATGTTTGATATTTGCGTTATAATAAAATATCAAATATGATACATATATGGTAAACTATAATTTATTACTAAATATCTTTAATAGTATCAAAGCCAGACATTGGGCGATGTGTCAGCGAGGAGACTGTTACCCGATCAAAGAGGGTAGACACGAGGGGGTGTGTTAATAAGGACGCTAGATCCTGAAGGGAGGTGGATTTGGTGGTGGTCCCACATCGATTGGAGAAAGGAATGAGTGCAAGGACGCTAGACCCTAAAGAGGGGTGGATTGTGAGATCCCATATCGGTTGGGAGGAGAATGAAACATTGCCAATAAGGACGTTGGACCCCGAAGGGGGGTGGTTTGAGTGGTGGTCCCACATCAATTGGAGAAGGGAACGAGTGCAAGGACGCTAGACCCTAAAGAGGGGTGGATTGTGAGATCCCATATCGGTTGGGAGGAGAACGAAATATTGCCAATAAGGACGTTGGACCCTAAAGGGGAGTGGTTTTGGTGGTGGTCCCACATCGATGGGAGAAGAGAACGAGTGTCAACGAGGACGCTGGACCCTGAAGGGGGGTAGATTGTGAGAATCTCATCGATTGGGGAGGAGAACGAAACATCATTTTTAAGGGTATGGGAACCTCATTTTTAAGGGTGTGGAAACCTTTCCCTAGTAGATACATTTTAAAAACGTTGAGGGGAAGTCCGAAACAAAAATATTAGAGGTTTTCCTCTACCATCATATCTGAACTTAAAAAAAACATAAATGAGTGACTCTCAAATAAAAGATTAGAAATAATAATAATAATAAATAACAGATTTCTCAATTAAGAGGTCAAATGTTCAAATTTCACCCCATAAATTTCGAATTTAAAATTAATATAAAAAATATAGATGGTTGTTATTAGTTTATTCCGATTGTTGCTTGTTAATTTATTCGTATTATAAAAATTGTGTTTTAAAATAATATAAAAAAATGAATAATTGTTTATTTATTCTTATATATTTAAAAATAATATAAAATATACGAAAGTTGTTTCAAAGTTTATGTTTATTATAAATAATGTATTTAAAAATATTATAAAATATTAAGAGTTTTTTTTATGGAAAAAATTTTAACCCACGAAAGATTTCATATAATACTCAATTACAACTGCGGCTAAAACACATTTATGAATATATTTTATATGATTGCTTATTTGGGGTCCATTAAATTTATCTTATGAATTTAAAATTTGAACCGAACTTATTCGATTTTAGAAAATTAAACAAACCTAATTCGAAATGTTAGGGATCGATATCAGTCGTTAGCTCTGATACCAGTTGTTAGGATCGCACAACAACGCACACGCTCGATCTAGATGAACACAAAGAAAATGATAGAGAGAAGTTGCAAGGAGAACTCTGGCTAAAAAGAATTTTGTATTGATGACTTCAGGGTATGTACAACAAGTGAGAGTACATAGAATAGAAGTACATTTTCAAATCTCGGGACCCAGATATATATATATGGTATAGTTTACTATATATAGCTTTACCAGATTTAGCCATCTACTATATATAGCTATTTACCATATATAGCTTTACCGGATTTAGCTTTACCATATATAGCTTTACTATTATAGCTTTACTAAATATAGCTTTACCGGATATAACCGTTGACCAAGCTATAAATAAGTATCCAGCTCGATAGCCTAACACGAAATGCTATATAATCCAATCCAACCTAATCCAATTCTTATGATTTGGGTTGGGTCAG